TTTTGCGAATATTAAGGTGGCCAGTGTAGACAGCTGGCAAGTTTTTCCACAAATTGGCTGCTTTTCCAGAAAAAGTAGCCAGTCTAGACACAGCCTATTATAATTGTGATAGAAATGTAGCCGTGTTAGTCTGGTATTTTAGCATGAATACCAGTTCAGAGAATTCTAAAATTCATGCTAAAATTTGACACTCTCCACTGGGGGTGCTGAACAAAGACTCCAGCTATCTTACCCATTACAAAGATAGCTTCCCTAATTATCACCTCTAACACTATTAACTCACAGACATCTACCCTTCCCCACCTCTAATATCATTAACTCACAGACATTTACCTTCCCCCCCCCCCCCCCACATCTCCCTTCTGTTCTGAAATGTGATTTGTCCTTTTCATATGTGTTCATTTTTTTAATTGTATCCTTTGGTATATATGGTTGTGACTATTTTCTTCCACTATTTGATCTGAGGAAGTGGGTCTGGCCCACGAAAGCTCATCATCTAATAAACCATCTTGTTAGTCTTTAAAGTGCTACATAGTCCTGTATTTTATTAAAACAAGAAAATGTTTATCTTACTTAAAATCTGGCCATCCTGAAATGAAGACTGAGGGAATCAAAGCTGCCTCATGCATCCCAGGGAGTCTGGTGGTGAGTTTCCTGCCCTTAGCCTTCGGACCCCATCAATAGCGTACAGTATTTTTAAATCCTCCCCCATCTTTTGATCCCCCACTTTCATGAAAGTGTATTTGTGTGACTGAGTCCTAGGAAAGTCCGTCTGGCAAGCCCACCAAGAGGTAGAATGAGAATATTACAGTTAATAATCCTTGGTGTTGCCACAGAGCTCCTGTGTAGGGTTATGGGGTCCTTGGGTCCATTTCCTGACCACCCAGATATTGAATTAACCCAATATATGCACAAAGCAAACATTTTTACAATATTCAGACCAACATACCTAGAACATAATTGTGAGGGAAGTGGGGGATGAATTATTTTATATATTCACATTTGATTGTTATTGTGTGGTTTACTATATCGTTACAAGGGGTGAATTCCAACAGGAGTGGAAAGAATTTGAGCTAGACAGCAGACAGCACTCACAGGTAGGTCCATTGGCTGATATACAGAGGTTTATTGCAGAGCAACAATTGTTTTGTAGTATACGCTTATCTCTCCCATTGCCCCTCCCAAGGGGGCTACATAAAGAAATGTAACCACGTTCAAGAGGCACAGGGAATGACAGACTGCAGAAGAAGATACCTCCAGACCAAGAAGTGGGTTACCTAGGATAAACCAGCCTTACCTAAGCATCAGGTAAGATAGATAAAAATTTAAAATATTTATTGAATTAAAAATATTTTTATTTTTTGATGATGCTTTGTTTCAATTTAGATTAAACAATACTTTGCTTTAAGGTGACTATGGTTTGGGTCACTGTATTGATCAGCTTCTCAAGGGAAGAACTGAATTTGGTAACAGTAATAATATGTGTTATTACTGAACCTAGTCAGGCCCACTGTGCACTTCTGATTGGTACCAGGGAGGCTGTACTCCAACACCCATTTTAAGGCCAGATAAACACTAAAAATTTTGGTTGGCCCAGCTACGTTCCTCAAAGGTGTGAAAAATCCACAGCCTAGCAACATAGTTAGGCTGACCCAGCATGGACAGCGCTAGGCTGATAGAAGAATTCTTCTGTTAACTAGCAAAGAGCTCTGGAGATGGATAAACTATAGCACTGTGAGAACCACACCCATCACAGTAAGGAGTGTCTCCCCTGAAGCACTACAGCAGGACTGCTGCAGTTTCTAGTGGATGACCTAAACTATGAGTGGGAAAATCATGGAAGTACTGAAGGGACAGCATGATGTCTATTAACTGGAGGTAGTGCACTTAAAACAGAGAGAGGGATCAAAGATGCCTTGACTTGTGACTATAGTATTAATAGGTTATTACTACCTAAAAATAATAGCTAGCACTTTAAGCACCCCAGTTTGGAGTATTTTCCTGCTCATCCTTGTTCTATATAATGTGTCTGAGCTGATCTTGGGGACTTGTTTTGCAACATAAAACTTTACTTAGCAGAAGCTGAGATTGCTGCCTCATGCGAAGGAGTTCTCCTGGCATAGCAACAGTAAGGATACCCAGTACATCAGCTCGCCAGTTGTAAGGGACAGACTCGACCCTGCTGGCGTAGGATTGTCAGGTGTCCAGTTTTGAACGGGACAGTCCAGTATTTCAGCTTTCTGCTTGGGAAACAAATTGAGAAACTATAAATGAGAAAATATAAACGTCTGGTATTTTCCAAATAAGATGTAATGTAGATTGTGATGTAATGTCAAGTGTGTCCGGTATTTTTGTTGAGACCACCCGGCAACCCTAGCTGGCTGAGGTTTTTGTGTTGCAACTCAGCAAACGTACAGAGGTCCCCTTGTCGCTTAGTGCGGCTGTAACTCAGTTCCAAGCAGGGCGATAAACACGGCTGCACGGAGGGAGGCCTGTGAGGAGAGCAGTTGGGAAGGGGACGCCAGCAGGCCGCGTGCGGAAATGACTCACCCCATTTGTTCCCAGACCCGCCCCGCGGATAGCCCGGCGCACTGCCGCCCCGCCCCGCCTTCCCCCTGCTGTTTA